AATAGATCAATATAATATTTGGTAGGGAGTCGTATTTCCTTGTGATGCACTGTAAATCTTTTATTGTAGATACTCCCACTGTTTATTGTTGAAAATCAATAAAAATAAACCTTGTAAAGTCAAAGCCTGGCAATGGTTCAGCACAAATCAGAGGGAAGGAGTAAGAGGCAGCGAGTCTCCCTCCCCTTCTTGACTAGCTCCCAGCTTGTTTCCCAATGAATGTTCAGTAACACTTTCCAGCAATCTGGGAACAAATTTTTCTTCAAAGTTATGAACACTTCGTTGTGATCTCAAACAGGACTTCTGATCCACTTTGGCAGCTTTCTGGTACTGAATTCAGCTGTGGATCAAACCAAAGTGTTACCCAGATTGCGTGTGGGATATACCTTAGACTTACCCCATCCAGAGAGAGACAAAAGCACATCAGCCTTGCTCAGCTCAGATTAAAGCTGTTACTTTTGAGCACTGGAAAACTGGAAACCAACCAAAATAGGTAAAAAGTGGGAACAGCCCAATGTGGTGAAAAGTTTCTCCAAAGTCAGAACAGAAGTTACTACCCCTGTCTGCAAGCCTGTAGAAGCAGGGCAGGATGCAATTACTCCAGTAACATTCCTTTGCCCTGTGGCTATTAATTCCTCATATACTGCGTCTTAGGGTGGAGTCTTCTACTATTTCCATGAGATTCAATTAAGCAGGGAAGTCAAAAATGGTTTGGAATTATTTAGTAAAGGGGAAAACTTCCCAGTACTATGGCCAGTGCTGAGAGATCAGTCTCTTTTAGTCCAAACATCGTATCAATCGCAGTAGCTTTATTTAAACATCTATTCTGAACCAATTATACAGTCTTACGAGCACTGACTGCAGAACCTATAGGGATGCAGTGACTGCACTTCCTAAAAAAACTAAAACCCTCATGAACTGTCGTATTGAAATCAATATCCAAAGAACAGAAAAGTATTTCATATGAGACTCTCTCCCTCCTGGTATCAGCAGATTACTGAACAATTCAAGCGGGAAATAAATGACGTATCCCCAGAGGAGACAAGAAGGACATAAGAGGACTTCCCAGTGTGTGAAGAAGCAGAGAAAAAGTTACTCAAAAGCACAAAAATGTAATCAATCACTACGAAAGTAAGTCAATCAGTGCTCGCCCTAAGTGAGCGAGAGGGCTGCCCCCAGCACTGCAGCAGTCAATTTCTAGCACCACAGGCAGCGGAACAGCTTGCACTTTTTTTTTTCTGAATTCAAGGAAGAATAAAAAGACAAATACAGCAGTAAGGTTACGGAAATCAACAAATTTTGCACCTTCCCAGGAAAAAGGAACTCTCTTGAGAAAGTCGGCAATGACTGGGAGTGGATCACATTGGTGATCGCAAATTCCAACTTCACTAGAAAAAGAAGTCTAAATGTTTCAAAATCCCATCCCTATTTATCAAAAAACTGAGCTAGATGTGAGCCATGAGAGCTCCTAGTTCTGTCTTTTGCAAAAGCAGGAGCAGGTCTCCAACAATGCACTCAAGTCCAGCAGAGATCCTATCTGTGAGCTACTAGAGTTGACTTGCCTGCCAAGATTTGGGTGAAAGTACTCAGCTTAACACATAATCTGGTTTTGACCTGAAGGCTTTCAAAATCACTCAGGCTCGTAGCTGATCTGGGCTCCCATCAACCGAGTTCACTTCTAGTCGTACAGCCATTATCTTCTGCACCAGCATCCCTCTGAACTCTCTCTGCTGATGACACACGACACATCTGCTCTCTGCTCTATCGCTGCCCATTCGGGACCTCAGAAGGGAAGGAGCAGTAAAAATATCAGCCACTGCTTCTCCTAAATAACTGCCTCGGTGCCTGTGGGATACACTGCCTACCATTCCAAAGAGGGCACAGAAAAATTGTCATCCTGGTTCAGCAACACTTTACAGTAACGTAAACTTACAAGGTGGAGGGCAGCAGCTACCCAGGCCAGCTGAAGGTCCTCCTAGTAAATTGATGCTATTTTTATATTCATTTGTCTGCAAACAAGCACACTTTCACCCCTTCCTCTGTGATTACTGCCATTTAATTGTGGCTTGAAGCTACACTTGTAGTTGTACAATCGCTGCTTTCACTTTTTGTACACAGAAAGCCAGAAAGGTGCCTTCCTTTGACGAACCAGCTGAATATCAAATTATCTTCCATTAAAAGTCATGGTTATCCTACTGGTCTCAGTCAAACACTTTCACCAAATTTCTGTCAGGTTATTGACACGCATGTTCTCAAACTTATTTAAACAACTATTAGTTAAAAAAAAAAAACACCAAACACCCAAAAGCATTGCACAAGAACCACGTCGTGTTCCCTGCAGGTGCACAAATGACAAAAGGTGACACTTCTCAGTTCAGTGCTAAACAGATTAAACGCTAGAAGAACTTTGGGAATCCAAACTTGCTGCCAGTCACGTGCTTCGCTTCAAAAAGATGCCTGGTCTGACAGGACACTGTCACACAAGGCCACCAGGGTAAAGCATGCATGGTCCTTGGAACAGAGGACAGGAACTTGCACTGGTATATAGGTCCAGAGCCAAAATGTGACATTCATAGAATGATGTTTATGCTGAATAAAAATTAACCCACGAGGAGAACCAGAAAGTGTTCAGCACTGGGCCATTGCAAGTTGTTACTGAAACGGTTATACCAAATATTAATTTTTCCAAAGCCACGGAGCGTGAGCGATGGCATAGGGTAAAACTCCAAGGCTTTTTAAAAATGGAAATATTTCCTATTTATTTTAAAATAGTAATTCAAACTTCAATTCCCAAAGTGGCTGCTACAGCAAGAATAAACTCACTACTTCTGCGGTAGGCGAGGTAGCCTAATTTTGTTACTAGAAAGGGTTCTGAAACCGGCCTCACTTAGCTTACACTGCAGCTGCCAGTGGTCATTTGAGGTGTGACGTTTAAATACAGCCTGAATTCTGGGGTTTTTTTCCTTTCCCTGTAAAAAGTTCTCACTTTTGTCTTGTGTTTCTTGCTATTATTTGTAAGTCTCTTCACCAAGAGTATTTACAGTCACTGATTCACTCAATACTCATCATTGGTTTCAGTTTTATCCCAATTTGAGGAATGGGAACTTTTCTGGAAAGTCAGCACATGGACCTCAAAATGAACTTAGAAAGCAAGTAGCTTTGTCTTTGTAGTACAGCAACCTGTCAGGACAGCTGTCACACAGCTTGTCTGCTGTGTCACCTGAACGCAGCCATCAGCAGTCTGACATCAAAGTCCACTGTGAAAGGCCTTCTGAGACAGACCGGCACAGGTGGTCATCACAGACCAGGTCAGGCTGGAAGGGACCTCAAAAGATCGTCTGGTCCAACGTTTCATGGGAAAGGGAGCCCAGGTGAGATTATCTAGCCCACTGTCCAGTCACATCTACAAAAACTCCAGTGATGGGGACTCTACCACAACCCTGGGGAGGTTGTTCCAGTGAATGGTGGTTCTCACTGTAAAAACTGTCTTCTATCAAGATGAATATGAACATACTGACATTACTGACAAAAGAAAATTCCATTCAAACTGAAAGCATCCATGCTTACATTCCTCAACATTCATTACATTATATAACCTGTAAGCAGCTTAGGAGTTGTAGTCCCATAATCACGTTGCTCTCAACCCAGACAGCTCTAGAACAAGCCAAGAGAACCTCATTGTTGCCACTCAACTTCTGAACTTGTGTCAAGCTAAAACACACTACAGTAGTAGCAAGAGAAAAGAGACATTTGACAGTGGCACCACTACTCTGGGAAAATCCATTCCATTAAAACTCCTAACGGCAAGAAACAGATGGGTGATTCCCACCACCCACCCCCATTCTTACGTGCTGCAAGTGAAGTAGTAAATTCATGTTTTAAAGCTAACAGAAAGCCACAGCTAATCAGTCAGCCAAGAAAGTCCAAACGAGTTCTACTTGGCTGTAACTTTGGAAAGGTGGTGTTTCATCAACAACAAAAGTCGGATTCAAATAATGAATCCTTGAAGTTATCACTATCTTCTTTCCCTGCCTTGAAGGGAGGACAAAAGACTTTTAATTTATAAGGCCTCATTAACTTACCTCTCCTGGTACCTGAAATAATTTTGGCATCTTTACAAAGCATCGCACAGGGCTAACATTCCCAAGGCTTTTAAAGCCACTTCTGCCAAGCTTTCCTCCTAAATATGTTTTGCACTTAACAAGCATTAAAAAATCCTTTGTACTATTTTAAAATTGCACTAATTCTTCCATCTGAAGGGCTGTTTATGACATTTTCATTCTTTTTATAATTAAAGCTCTGAAGATTAACTGACCCTTTGTTCACAACTGTTTTCTGAAGACCTTTATTGTTTAATTCTCAGCACTGAAGAACAGCTTAGAGCCTTTGGAGTGAGAGGACAGAGGAGCATTCTGCAAGAGACAGGAACACGTTATTTCACGGACAGTGGTGGTGGCTTCACAAAAACACATTCTCATGTCTGGAGCCACACATCGATACAACTTGGGATGTTTCCCTTACGTTGCTTTTGGCTAACTGCAGGAGAATCAGTTTTTATGTATCTTTTGAAAGTCGAAGCAATATCCAATCGTTGAGGTTGTTGGGACAACAGTTGTGTCAAGCTGTTACTTTTTCACGTATTAGTAGGCATTTAAAATCTACTTACAGATTAGCACAGAACATAAAAATTATTTTCAGGAAGGAATGGCTGATCTTTTTGTGAGTCCTAACACAAATTTCAGCCACAAACAAAAACAACCCTTGAAAATGCTGGAATCTGGTCCACAAAACCAGTAGTGAATCTGCGGCTCTTTTATTTAGAGTTGAAAAGGGTAGAGCAGTAAAAAGCAGGAAAACATTTTTTTTTTCCAAATACTTGAAAAAAAAAATTGTTTGTTTGTTACTTCCCTCGATAGTTGCAGTTTCAAACAACCCAACAAAAGAGGCCACTAGTGCTGACACACCCCTCTTCCACCTTCAAAAGACAAAAGGAAAAGGCTTTATTTCCCTTTCTGCACTTGGCTTCTCTTTGCCTGTGCTGTCCGGCAGCTCCCGGGGGTCTGGTTCACCGTGACACCAAGGCCTGCTGGCCTCCTCATCCTTTCAAAACTGTAGCATTCGACTTTTTCTTCACGGGAGACTGTCCTGGTGCTTATGAGGCGAAATCCACTTTTGAGTAAAGTGTCAAGCAGCAGGCCCAGCACATTAGCACCATTAATCAGCTTTCTATTATCAGGCTTTATGGAAACGTACCTAAAATAAGAAAAAAGCAGTTACAACACACTTTAATCACTTCTTGAAGGATGGAATCAAATTTTTTTTGAAACAAACCAGGTCCTTGGATGGTGCAAGTCAGCACAATTGCACAGGTTTGCAGCAACCAAGGTTCTGGATGTTTTTTCCTCCTCTGAGGAAAATTTCACTGTTTCCCTTGTTGTAAGAACAGTAATCCTCAGCTCGTCCAGTTATACGTTAGAGAGGAAGAACTTTCACCCCCACACCAAAACTTTCTGAAGAAACAGCTGCAATAACCTCCATCCCATCTCATTTCGTGGAGGAGAGGCGAACGGCATGCTCTATACAGCGCTGCAACAGTTCTTCAGGTACAAGTAAATGACAGAAAGGACAGTGGAGCCACATTCACCCCAACAGCATCACTTCTCATTACACGGGATCTCTCTCTACAAACAGTGACATTTATTGCAAAGTCATCCGTACAGCAGGTCTTGTGGTAATAAGTATGAAAATCGTTTTCACATTGCCTCAAATGATTTTACTTGATATAAAGTACAGTTTAAGAATCTATCCAGACATTTCGAGGAACAGAAGTCAGGTAAAAATACTATTACAAAATACACAAGCTGACAGGGGTGAAACTGTTCCACAGTTCACAGAAAGTACACCAAACATTCATGGGAAGCACAAAAAAGGTGAGAGAGTCCACATCACCACAAAGAGTAAGTCAATAGAAATTCAGCAGGCAACATAATCAAACTTCACTTGTTTCATTAATCAAGGTCAGCTTTTCCACTGATCTGCAAAGGAAAATTTTTACCAAGTCTGAAAAAATAAAGGAAAGAATCAGGAATATTTTTCCCACTATTTAAGTTGCCATAAGCTACTCAACCAATTGTTAGTCCGTTAAAATTAGTAATACATTATAAAACTAAGGTTTGGCACATAAATGTACGTTGCTTTGCAAATGCAAAGTAGTTTTTCTTCTACTTGCTTGTCTAAGAAAAGCTAGAAGAAAGATAAACCTAATTGACTTTATTTTAAAAAATAATCAAAGGATTGCTGTGTTGATTCAGATATTCAGAGAGAATAATCCTTCTGGAACTCTTTCAGTAAAATCTCCATAAAATTCCAGATGTTCTAACAGCCACAGAGGGCAAATTAGGTTACATTTTCTTATACAGTAAGAACGTGTCTCCATACAATAGAGATATTCAGCAAAAGCTTGTTTAAAAAAATGTAAGTTGTCATTAGAATATGATACTGCTATCACAAATGTCACTGATATACAGTAATCTTAATTAAAAAAAAAAGAAACTGGCTCTGAATTCAACGAAAACCCACTGTGTAGCATACAGTTAATAAACTACCCCTTCTCCCTCCCCCCAGTAAAAAGCTCTACAAAAGCTTTCCAGTGCCTGAACTGTAATCTGAGTTCTACTGGTGTTTTCAACCCTGTATAGCCTTTTTTCCATATGAGTGTCTTTTGGGCTATGAGCTAGTGGAGATTTTAGGCTTCTCCAGTAGTTCACTCCTTATTTATTTTGTTTCTTTTGCTTCATTTTACTCTGTGTTTTTTTTACTCTAGTCTTCTAGAAGGTTACTGATGCCATGAAATTCTAAAGCCTGGGAGAACAAGTGGAGAGGAAAGGGCAGAGAGAGAGAAAGACCCAAGAGAACTCAAAAAACAACCATTGCAAACAGTATTTTAGAAAGCTGAAGAACAGGCAAATCGGTCAGAAATTAAACTGAGTATTTCAGAAGCAGAAAAAGGTAACATTAAACCAGCAGAAAGAAGGAAACATATCTCTCTTCTCTGAGACAGCTGTCCAACAGTTTCTTTAAAATGAGCTTTGCTAGCACATAGCATGTCCTTCATGAACTAGAAGTCACAGACATTTCCACAATGAGAAGTCACACTAGGGAGGGTACCTGGCCACAAACTGGTCACCAGCAGAGTAGTCAGTACCGCACTGAAAAACCATGTCGTGATGAGAAGGTCTTTCCAAAGGAAGTGGAACGAGTGGTTTCTGAGAAGGAAAAGGGCTGTTCCAGCTCTGTCCTGACTGCAGCCCTGTAAACACGGTGATCTGTTCAGCTAGTGTCTCAACAGTGGTACTGCAGGAACCAAAGATCCGGAAAAAGGCCTGCATCTCTTGGAGAGAAAAGCGCACTTCCAAGATCTCCAGCCTTGGCTTCAGCAAGTGTTCCTGGCTCAGGAGGTCGGCCAGAGGGTAGAGCCCATAGAATTCTGCTTCTCTCTGCAGCCTCTGGTAGTCTGAGAAATCAGCAGGTAAGGAGACCTGAAGAGTCCTCAAGAAGTCCATGATGTAACTAAACAAAGTTCCATCTCTGTCCACAAAAAACTCTCCATTGACTAGTTTAAATTCTCGGTCATCATCGTTCAACATCTGTGCTAGCCGGGACTCAGGGAACTGCTGCAAGGTGGAAGCCCGGGTTACAAATCTCATTCCTCCCACGCTCAGAACGACCACCTCTCGATTACTCATCGCGATCTCAGCCACTCAAGAATTGTAACTCTCTGACCTAAGTGTTTGTGACTTGATCTTTCCTAAACTGCAAGGCACCTGCAGCTGCAAGAACAATTCGGTGCTTTTAGCGAGTGTTTGGAGCGAGGTGTGGAGCAGCAACAGGCCTGCCAGGCAACAAAGATGTAAATACCATGTACAATAGTTTTGTTTGCAGGGCTTGGTTGCTCGGAAACTTTGATTCTTGGAATTTCATGTTTTAATTTTGAAACCAACAGCTTGCAAGGACTACTAGAAGACAACAAACCGACTGTCACAACTTACTAAACCTTAAGAGAGGCCAAGGAATATCCCCAAAGCACAGCACGTGTTACATCTGTTTTCCAGAAATGTCAACTAAATGTTTTCATTCTACCTAGGCTGTCCATAGGACTACTGCAAGAATAGGTTAGACGTGCTTCAAGCAACATATTTCAGTGTCGTACGCTCTTCAGGAAGGTCGCTTCAGTGAACTCGCGCTTACAGTCCACTTTAAATTACTGTTATCCTACAGCCAAGTCAATGCACTCAGAAAATTCAATTCACAGAATCACAGAATCACAGAATGTTAGGGATTGGAAGGGACCTCAAATTCACTCCTGAAACAAGGTACACAAAACCACAGTAGCAGCAGAAGAGCCGACACATGTTCCAGCGCTAAAGCACTTCCAAACACTAACAACATCCATACTCCTGTCACATTACAAACTCTATTCCAAAGAGCCATCCCACCATTTTCCCCAGCTCTTGGAATCATGACTGGGAGAGACAGAGAGGAAGAGGAGAGAAACCGCTCTACCTGCCACCTTTGCCAGGCTAGAGCGCAAGCTGCCTTCCCGCGGCTGACCCATCCCTGCCTTTCGCCGCTCAGAACTGTTAAGGCCACTTTTTAAGAAACTCTGGCTTCAGAGAAACACAGATCTAACAAGACAGCTCAGACACGCCAACAATTTGGTGCTGGAAAAGTAAACTGTGAAGTTTACTTGTTCTTCTTTTACCAGCCTCAACTGATTTCTCTTTACCCCTAGAATTTATGCTTGCCCCGAAGATATATTTTTGTATAGAACATGTAAACAATAATTGGTATCTACAGTAACCTGAATGCACGGGATAATTACAACATTTGGTTATACCAAAACCCCATGTATTTCTGTTTCAAGTGAGAAGTAACATCCCCAGATGGTTCCAGAACATGAACGATGCACTCTGCATTTCGCAGTGGAAGGGCAGTCCTCAACAAGCCTCTCAGTACAGCACTCTTCTCCATCTCCGCTCTTCTTCCTGTTTACAAACACTCCCCAGTTAGAAAAAATAGCAATAAAAATTAACTGTGATCTTTTAGGAAGTGACACTTTTTATCTTATTCTACAATTACATTAACATTAAACTAAGTACAAAGTCCGGCCCTATATTTTGGTAAGAAAAATGATTTACAGTGAATAATATTCCTATAATCACCGCTGAACGAAGAATCCAGAAACAAATGTGGTTTCCAAAGCTCCGTTTCATCTTCCAGTTTATCAGTGCTCAAACTACGTGAACGGTATGAATACTTTGGAAACATTTTGAATCTTTCAATGTTTTCACTGACAGTCTTAAAAAAAACAATTAATTTTACAAAGTTCTGTGTTTTCTTCACCAGATCTCTCATAGTTCTTACATTTCAGTAGGGACTTTACAACAGTTTATATTTGCACACAAACTGTGCAACATTATCCAGTACTACCAACGTATAGTTTTTACACTTTTCTCTTAGAAGTGAAGCTCCATCTGTCATCTGTTCCCAGTAGAAGACTGCATGATCTGCAATCTCCACAGTATCTGCCAAATAGGACAAGCTAATTGTAAAGAATTGAGATTTCCAGCACTGGAGATTGTCGACGACTGACTCCACGAAGGACATTCTGGTGACAGCAAGAATAAGCAAGCAAATAAGCGAGGTCACTATCAGTCTGCGTGAAAAGACTGAGGGAATCTTGAATTTAAGAGTGTTGTTTTCCTGAGGCAAGGAAAGTTTGTCCACATCAACTAGTTTTATTCCATTCCACTGGCTGGTATCAAAGCTCTTCATTGTAGGGCTGATGTCCACACTGGAACAAGGTAAAGGGGTTTCTTTGAGCACCTTGATTTTTTCCCTGAACTCCTGCATCTGTTGCAGAAATATAATGGGTTCGGACACATCTTTGAAGGCCTCTGCGATGTTAAAAGCCATCCGTTGCTCTTGCAGAATTGTGTTCAGTTTATTGATTTCCGGATCGTAGGCCTGCATCACAGCAAGCTTCATGGTCTCAAAGTCAGAGAGAATCTCGTTTCGCTTCTGCTCCAGCGTGTGCTGCAGCTTCTCAAAGAACTCCTTCACTTTGTCAGAGTCTTTGGTCAGCATCTGCAGAGCTTTCCTCTTACTGGTTTCTAAGGTATCCAGCCGCGAGAGGGCATCTCCACAGCGCCAAGTTTCAAAGCCCTGAAATAGGGTTTCAAAAGCCCGCTTCTCCTGGGAATAAGCTTCTTCGATAGAACAGAACACATGCTTTTTATGGTCACCACGGGTGGCACAAACCCCACAGATCAGCTGCATGTCTGTCTGGCAAAAAATGTTAAGGGGTTGCCCACTGTGCACTTTGCACACAGGCATTTTTGGAGTTACTTTGATTTTGTTATACTTCTCCACGATACCTTTCAGGGAATAGTTGACTTGCAAGCTGTTGACTCCAGTAACAGGAGTTTCCTTCCTGCATGTGGGGCATTTGAAAGGGGACAGCCTCCAAAGCACATTCCGGACGTTTCCCTCAAGAATTCCTTCCAGACACTTTCTGCAGAAATTGTGCGAACAGGGCAGGACACGAGGATCATCAAACAGGCTACAGCAAATGGGACAGGTGAGATCTTCCTCTAGGAGCTCCATCGTATCCTAGGAGAGAGAAGAAAGATGGTAACAGAACTTACAAAACTTATTTCTCCAACAGGGGAACCATGCAAAAACCGATCTCCAGCTGAAACACAGCTCAATGAGAGAAGGATCTACTTTTTTCTCAAGTATCCTTAAGACAGAGCCTCCGCTGGGTTCCTGCCACCAGTCCAGTCAGCTGTGGAATGCGGCCACCAGATGGCAGGCAGAAGAACGACTCGGCGTCCGGGCAGAACCATGTTTGGATTCTCAGCTAGAAATGCAGGAAAAGAGGGCTCGCCAAACCCAGCAAGGACTTTGAATGAAAATAACTCATGTACTCATAATAACAGTTCAAGACTTCCACCTTTCTTCACTGATGTAACGTCCAGAAACTGGATTTTCACCAAAGACACCCAGCCGATACGCCCTGCTAAGATTTGTCTACTATCTGCTTGCTCAACTCATCCCAAGCTTACAGTTTCAAACTTCATGCACTGCTACTGTAAGAAGACAATACTAAAGGGGACTTAAAAAGTCCAGCTTCAGAATTTCCTCAGCTACAGAATATGTCACGTGGCTCTCTGCTCTACCTGCAAAGACAAAGGGGAGTCACCACTCACTTAAAAAGTTAGCTTTTCTCTTCCTCCTGCAATACTCTTAAATAACCAAGTGAATGTGTTATCGTTGAGCTACTCAGCACAAATTTAAATTCTTCAAAGAACAACTGCCCATAATCACAGAATCACAAAGTGTTAGGGACTGGAAGGGACCTCAAAGGATCATCTAGTCCAATCCCCCTGCCGGAGCAGGACCACCTAGATCAGATCACACAAGAACGTGTCCAGGCGGGTTTTGAACATCTCCAGAGAAGGAGACTCCACAACCTCTCCGGGCAGCCTGTTCCAGTGTTCTGTTACCCTTAATCCTCGATAATTCATCATGAAACAAAACCATTGACCATTTTTACTCATCCACAATCTCTGTTTCCAATTCCATTCTCACAGCATGCATGCCTTCACAATTTGTTTTTGTGGACAGGACCTAAAGGAAGAGGATTTATCATGCAGTCCTTTGTACTGGAAAGCCTCACTGAAGGGACCCGGCACACTACCCTCCCAGTGCCTCCACCCAAAGCCAAGTTCTCAGATGCAGACGCCTTACAATTTACAGCATGCTCTAAGAAAACAAATAGCTAATAAAGACCAATGTGGGTCTGTCTTCGCCAAAACTCTCAAACACTCCATTCTGAGCTATAATTAGAAAGATGCTTCCCTGGTATAAAGTTGTTCCATATTATACAATATGTATTCATACACATATGTAATAAAACTCCTTTTATAAGGAAGAGGATGTTTTTTTCCCCCATACTCGTGAGTCTTCCTCTTTATGAATAGTTCCCTCTCTCCAACTTGTACTCACAGCTTTTAGCCATGATAGCAGCACAAAGATCAGTTTTGGTCAGGTGTTAAGAGGGTACCAACTACCAAACTAAAAGACAGTTCTCCATCTTTTAGTAAACGGAAATTCACAATGCAGAAAATATTTACTCTGGTCCGTCTCCTTTACCGGGGAGGATTTTACTTCTTAGTTAGGGAGCTGGAAAAGCAGCTGTGCATGCCTGACAGTGAGGACTGCAAACCACTGCAGAAAACGCTTACTACAACACATTCCCTCAAAATTGCAGGACAAACACTGAAGGCTTTCATGCTTCTAAAAATACAAAAAACATACACAAAAAGTTTTCATGATCCAAAAATACCCCATCCTGGTGCATTCCAAACCCACTTACCCAATTAAATAATTACACTTTATAAATATAACTAAATTTCAAAACCATTATAATGACATCATTAAAAAAATAGGATTTTTAAAAAAGAAACGGGCAATTCTACAAGCTTTTTCCCCCCTCCCTCTTACGACACCAGTAACACCAAACCAAAAATACTGAAAACTTGTACGACAGGTTGGGACAGCTGAACTTCTGTCTTGTTTAGGACTTTAATTTCAGAGTAAGTTGCCTGTGGATTGAAACATCCCTTTGTATTAGCAACTTGGTATTTGTGTGAGGAATGACAGTAACATTTCAACTTCTCTG